GATAAACCTCTCCTCCCTGCACACCGGTTTGATTAAAAAAAAGTTATAGCAGATATGAGCGTTTGGCTTTTTGTTTGTTTGGGAGGGGGTTGCCTTATTCAGGGTGGGGGTGGGGCCTGGGGAAGAGTACTTCTGAGCATCCTGCATTTTTCTTGTGTGAAATGGATATTTCATGCTGCCTGCAATGCTTTTTCTCAGATTTCTGAATATGCACTCAGCCGCCAAAACTTTGGAGACCACTGCTTTAATGGGGGCACAGTTTGTTGGTGAGGGCCTGTTCTTGTAGTTCTCCTTGTGCCTCAATCAGATTGCTTCCCCTCAAAGAATCTTGGGCACTGGAGTTTACCCCCCACAGAGCTACAATTCCCAGCGCAATGTGGATGTGACCTATGGATTATGCCAGTGGCTTTCAGCCAGTGTGCCGTGGCACTCTGGGGTGCCTTAAAGGATGGTCAGTGGTGCTACAGGCAACACTGGCCTCCATCCCTTTCTCCCTCCCTCCCTCCTCCCTCCCTCTGATGCCCTCTGTTGTCTCTGCCTCCCAAAGGCTTGCACAGCTGTTTGCTGCAGCAGCCACTGGTGAAAGATGCCTCTAGAGCTGGTTAGGGGGTGCTGGCTGTGAGGAGCTGAGGCATCCTTGGAGTAAGCAAGCAAGCGGGCAAGGGAGCCCATCCAGCTAGTTCACTAGCCCTTGCTGTTGGGAATGGACAGTCCCAGGTTCCGGTGGGACAGTGTGAGGAGGCACCTCTCTTTGGGGCAGTGGGGGCAGCTCAGAGACCAGGGGTGGCAGCAGTAGCTGCCCAGAGGACTCCCAAGGAGAGGGGAGAGGAGAGGAGGCTGAGGGAACACCCCACAAGGGAGGGTGTTTGGAAAAGGGTGAGAGGCTGCTAGCTTTGCAGTCAAGGGATGACATAACTGGGCTCCTGAGCCCCACAGGGGTGTCACAGAAAGAATGTAGTTGGTCAAGGAAGCCGTGGACTAAAAAAGATTGAAAACATCTGGACTATGCATTTATTCCAATGGGAAGTACTAAGCAGCTCCAAGCAAATACATGCAATTAATAATGATAATAGTAATAATGACACAGCTGTATCTCCTCTAATTAAAGAGCTAATTGAAGTGTGAGGATTGAAGAGGTCTAGTTCCAGCCTTCCAGGAAGTATTGAATTAATTGAAAGCCGGTGCTGGAGCTGTTTTAGATCAAGAGAAAGGACCGGAAATGCAGGGCAATAATTAAGAAAGGAGGGGCAACCCCAAACTGTCACCCACCCAGTGACAACTCTCACTGTTCCCCAATCACACATTTTCCTATTCACACTATTGTTCTACTCTACCTCTCTCCCCCCTCAGTAGATTTTTCTGTGGTATGAAAGAAGACAGATGCAACTGTTTAGTGATTTTCAAACTTTGTGCCAAAGGAGAGGCAGAAGTGTGTATTTTAAACCCAAGCATAATGTTGGATGCATCCGTCAGTATGCCTGCCGCACTGGGGAGACCCCATGCAGTATGGATTCCCACCCTCAATGGCACTTTCCTGAGGATTTACTAAATTCCTGGGGTTTACTAATACAACTGATCAGGGGGTGTCAACTTGAATAAAATATTGGGGGGGGGGCAGGTAAGCCCCTCCTCGCATAATCAATCACATGACAAGGTGCACCCACACCATTTGAATGGCAATGCCCATCAACTTGGGGGGCACCCCTTCAAATATTTTATTGGGGAGCCTGAATGGACCTTGGCCCCTAGGAATTGCCTCCTGTGCAACTGATAGTGATGAAGGAAATCCCAGAAGTATTGACATAGACCAGCAGGCACAGATGGTCCTGTGAAAATATCTAACTTGTGTTTTGTTGCAGGAACAAAATGCAGTCCGTGCTGAACATTTTGATTTGGAGTACACCTTGCTATTTTCATGGCTTTCAAACGGCAACTGTGAACAAATGGTTTCATGCTTGGCCTTAATGCTTCGTTCTGCTGGCAAATAATTTTTTTTAAAGCCTTTTGAAAGCCTTTGGTCTCATTTGCCTCCTATATGAGCTAACTTTTAAAGAATGGGCACAAATGCATTTAAGGCTGTTTTGATGCTGTCCTAAAATACAATATTTACTATCCGTGTGGTTAAGGGAAGTTATACTTACTGAATATGTATGATGTGTAACTTTTTGGAACTTGTATGTCTGCTGTAACAGTATGAGTTGCAGTTTTATGGGCTTTATCATCTTTTTAATTTTTTTAAATTTGTAATAAAACATGTAAACATAACATGTTTACATGTTAATAAACATACAAGCCGTCAAAAGGAATAAAAAGTGATTCTCATTCATGACTGGGTGAATGTAAGATAACATCTCTGGTGTGAAGTGTAGGTATTATTATTTTTTTTAATGCAAGAATATCCTTAAAAAACCAAAACAAAAAACCAACAACTTGTGTACACATTTAAGGGTGTATTTATAGGGAGCAGTTTCTCTGGGCCCTTTGCTATCTTCTTTTATCATGTAATCTCAGTAAGCAAACTCAAAGCAGACAAATCCCTGCACTTAAGCCCACAGATTCCGGTCATTTGTGGCAAGATTTGCAGCAGGGTATTAAAGATTTCTTCATAAGCTGTGAAGAATCAGATCATCCAAGTTCACTGTGTTCTCTCCACTCCGTTATTAATCCCCTTTTCCCATTACGTGCGTGTCTGTTTACTTTTGCAGAGGCGCTTTATGTATTCTGAAGGACAGCTTCCTATATCCTACGTAAAACACACCACTGTCTTTCCTGTGACCTTTTCTAAAGGCGTTTGTAAAGCAGGGTCCATTCCCTTAAGAGCAGAGCAAAATCTGCATGCTCTGTGATGCGGTAAAAATAAATGGCTCTGTTTAATAGAAAGTACCGCTTGGAGCTGTTAATTTAGCATTTGGCAGAGTTGCACAAAATGATCCTATGCTGCAATATATATTCAGTCTGGGGGGGGGAGGGGGGGGAATAAAGAATACTTCATATGGTGATGCCTATATTGGAAAAATAAGGGTGAATGCATGTGCTGTCATTAAACTGCTGCAAAAGAATATTTGCCTGTGACATCGCTGGTGGCAAGAAGCACAACTCCTCTCTTGCATGTGTCTTCCTACAGATGGGTCTTGTCAATCTAGAAAGGTAGCCCATCTAAAAGAAGGAAAATTCTGGTCCTAAACCTCTGCTGCCTTGCGGGATATCTTCAGGGGAAGAAAAGGCTAAGGAGTAAACCCTACACAAATCTGGAGTGGAATGCCTAAGGTGGTTGGATGGCGTCTTGTATGCCTCCTGGCAACTCCTGCAGCCAAGCTGGTGCCAAATGTATTGCTCTGCTTTCCTTTGGACCACATTAGAGAAAGCAGAGAGGGGGTCTTGTTGTCTGGGCAGCCCAGGACCTCCATACATGCTGCCCAGGTTTGCATCCTGAGGAGATCACTTCAGTGCTGCTAATGCATCCGTTTGGCTTCAGCAACGTTGTAATGTATATTCATTTTGAATAGCTGCATGGTCCTCATAAAGTTGTGAATCTTGATTTCTTTTCCATTTTCAGCAAGAGGATTGAGGGCCAAAGTTCATACTGTTCATGGGCTGGTGAGTAGAGTGGCCATATGCCCTGCTTTGCAAAGGTGAAGTTGCCTATCAACAGTTAGTACCTGGACAACAAACTGATCAGGCACACCAGCCATCCAGTCACAGTCTTTAATGCTGTACATTAGAAACAGGAATCATGTAAATTCAGCCCATCTTCATTTTAACTCCAGAGGGAGCCATGCCAGTAAACTTTTCTACATAACTTTGTATGCAAGTTGGCACTCAGGAGGCCGTTTGAGTGCTCACTTTTTATGCTAATGACAGATTTAGCTCTGAAAATCCATTCCATGTTCATTGCTAGTTTATAGCCAAGAACAAACTATATCAATCTCTCAAATGGTATATGAGACTCTTTTAAAAGCGTTCTTTTTCTGGTGCCAAGGACATGAGGTAAAGGACACTCACAACTTCACAAACATGTGCATCATTGCTTATTTGTTGCTTAGGATCGATGCATCTTCCATCAAGATGCACTCAAACTGCCATATACTGTTGCTGGGTAGATGTCTTTCTTTCTCAGTTAGTGGGCCTATCTGGAATGTGATGATGTGACTGCCCCATGTATCCAGACCCTCCAAGTGTCCCTATTTTCCAGGGACAGTCCTGGATTTACAGAAGCCATCCTGGTTTCTGATTTGATCCCAGAGTGTCCCACTTTTCCTAAGGATGTCCCTATTTTCATCGGAGAAATGTTGGAGGGCATGAAGTTATAACTAACAATACAATCTTTAGAAGACATTCGATGGTAGTCTTGTATAGGGAAGGTTTTTTTTAAAATGTTTAATGATTTATTATGTTTCTATATATGTTGGAAGCCAAGCCAGTCAGATGGGCGGGGTATAAATAATAAAATTATGATGATGATGAAATAGGACGTCCATAGTTTCATCGGAGAAATGTTGAAGGGTATGTGTATCTGCCTGCATACAAAAATAAGAGGGGGAAAAGGTCCCTCTAACTGGGAGGGAGCATCTAAGGTTCTACCAAAAATTTTGTTACTCTTTACTTTTGGATTAGAGTGTTGAAGTACTCTTGACCTGTTTCTTGTCTGACTAAGCAGAAAGTGGTATAGAAACATATGCAGGAGTACCTTTGGATCTGAGGGCTGCTGGAGGTCACCGGAGAAGCATAGAAGTTTAGGTCTCTGGGCCAGCAGTTCCTTATCTCTTAATACTCCCTATAGTATTAGTTGATGATGTTATCATATTAGGCAGGGCTGTGAGGTTGACTGATTGTAGTTTGCCTAGCTTGTTCATGGCTGAAGCAAGATTGGAACCTGGGAATTCCTGCTTATAGCTCAAACTCTTAGATGCTGTATTACACCAGTCAAAACTTCTTGTTTTTTAATCACATTTCTTTGAGAACCACATGTCTGCAATTACCTATTTGAAATGCATGTACCAGGCAGCCATTTTTTTAAAAAAACTTTTTTTCTCCTTGCCCCACATAAACTACTGTATGGAAGGAAACACAAGGCATAACATGCTGTATAAGAAGATATAACATAAAGCAATCCTTCTGTTCAATTTCATGCAGTCTTCTCTGTGAGGCAGTGCTTTCAGGCTACATTAATTCTGAACACAATTGAATGGTATCACCTCTGCGCTGTTCCGTTGGAGGGACGTTCTGTGAAAAATAGGAAAGTGTTTCGTTTATAGACTTGGGAGGACAAGGGGATTTTTTTTAAAATAAAGAAATAAAGTTAATAATAGCTCATCTTTCATTTCAACAATATGAGTGAACTAATGGGCAGTGGGTAAAATAATGGCGTTTCTTCATAGCTATTCATTGACTTATGTATGTTGTAGGATCATATATGCCAATATGACATGGGCAATTACACAAACTTGTTATCTCTCTGGGCACATCTGCTTTGGTTTAATAGTAATTTCTTCTCTTATGCAAAACCTGTGGAACTGTAGTGTGTTGTAGTGAACAGAGTATTGGACTTAAACCAGGAAGACCTGAGTTTAAAACCACCTCTATCATCATGACTCCTTAAAGAGCACTGGATTAGCATAGATCAGTTACCAACTCTCAGCCTAACCCATCTTGTAGGGCTATTTTAAATATAAAATAGGGAGGGAGAACACCACCATATACAGCAACTTGAGAACAAGTTGTGTTTAGAAAGTGCATTTCTGAGGGAGGCTTAGGGTATCTCAGCACCCTTAGCAAGCTGCATTTTCCAGGAGCCATTTGAAGGGTACTAGGTTGGGGAAGGCTGTCACAGATAATACAACCAATAAACTAGCCACCTTTCCATTAGATAATGAGTTCCCAGAAGCTTGGATAGATCGGTGTTAGTCCCAAACCTTGTTGAGTATTTTGCAACTGAATATTTTGAAAGTGTAAGTATTGAATAACTCTTAAAAAATATATGAGTTGGTGTGCCGGCCAGTACTCACCTCTGTTGTTCAACAATTGCATATATTTAGTTTAGCTGCCCATAACTCACCAATTTTGGTGGTACAAGAGTGTGCAATCATTTGCACACCCCTACAACTCATTAGATTGTAGTGAAATCTCGTATATATGGAGTTGATTGTGCTTTGGGGTATTTTATCTGAGATGTGCAATTCAGTTCAGACATGGAAGCCAGCGCTTAATATTGTCATCCTCAAGTGGCAAGCATGTAGGCATGGACTAGCCCCCAGTTTGAAGAGGAGGTAGTCCCATTTGGACTTCCTTCATCGCCATTTTCCTTTCATACTGAATGTGGTGACCCTGTTGCTGCTTTGTAAAATATCCAGCACTGAAAGTACTTGGAGTGTAGTCAAATTTTATTTCTTTTGAAGAAAGCTCATCAAGATTAAATAATGCATGGCACATAAAATTTACTTGGCTTGTTTAAGGCAGTGCACGTTAATTAAGCTAACAGGAGTCAAGAGCAGCCAGAATACATGGCAAACCAGTCAATGATTTCTAAAAATAAATATAGCATTATTACACATCCTCTAATGTAATAACGCTATAATATGTAGGTGACGTTTCCAGTGTGTGGAGTGATTTGCACCCCAGAACTCATTGATCCAACATTGTAAGACAGAGCCTGTTATGCCTTTGAACTGTGTCGGGGAGAAAGGTGGGTGCTGAATAACACCCCCAATCTGTGCGGTGTGAGATCCCAGTGTCTGTGTTTCCTTTTGGCAATGAGGCACAGTGGAGGCCATGGTGTCTTCATGATATCTGATTTATTTATGCATATATACAACCTGAGCCTAAGATGGAGGGGTTCAAAGCATTAGCACCCCAAAATGGTTGTGTTTCTCCCATAGCTTGAACCTTGGATTCAAACGGAAACCAACCAGTACTCTGCCTTTCTGGCTTTCTAGCTTGCTGCTTTGTTTCTCCATCACACCACATTCCCGTTCCCACTGCCCAATCTATGGTTACCTAGAATTGCAACCATTTGCTCTAGTTTGGTGATCAACACACTGATGGGCAAAACTATCTGTGGACACCTGGTATGTTTTAAAGGGGCCAGATCCAGCACGTGGACCACCAGTTTTTCACCCTTGATTTACTTCGTTTTAGGTTTCTGCTAGAAAACTACTTGTCAGCTTTTATGTGGGTAATGTTCTGGCCTCATCAACACACTCTAGCCAGCTAAACTCACATCTAATCCACACTTCCATTTAAATCCATCGTCAGCTTTATTAATGGCTTGAAATCAATTTTAACAGCAAATAATTTACAAATGCAGATGACCAGGCTGCAACTCAGTGTGGCAGAGAAGGCCAGAGGCGATCAGTTTTAACCAGGTCTAAACAGGATTAGATAACCAACACAAGAGCAACCAACTGAAGATACTAGATACTAAGGATTGATCAGATGCTAATGGGGTTGCAGAAGGAAAATCGAAATAGTTCTAAACACATACACTAGGGGGCAACATAACAAACAACACAATACCCATTTGGGGGCAGAACACATTATAAGAGTTTATTTTGAGAGCCATGATGGTGTAGCAGCTAGAGTCTGGGGAAGTTCACGTTTAAATCCTCACATACCTTACTTACTGAGTGAGCTTGGACCACTCCCTGTCTCTACCTCACAGGGTTGTTGTAAGGGATAAAGGAAAGGAGAGGGGAACATTGCATACACTATCCCTTCCTGAGCTCCTTGGAGAAAGGGTGAGATAAAATGAATGTAGTAATAATGGTATTGATTCTGATATGCTTGTTAATGCCCCCCCCATTTGCATGACTAAAGGCTACTTCACATATGATGTAGGTGTGTGTTTTATAAATAGATCTACATGCACCAGGGAGCCTCTCTGATGTGTGCATGGTTCCCCCCCCCAACTAGCTTACACAGCTTTCAAATAATGCATTTTTCTCTGCTGTTGGGCTGCAATTCTAAATGACCATAGACTAAGCAGGGGAAGTACATGCACTCAATTGGGTCACGTTTTGGAATTTTTCACTGCACGCTGTTGCCCAACAGAAAGGGCAAGGTGCTTTCCTATATGAAACTGGATAACTGAGCAGTAAAAAACAATCTCAAAGCAATAGGAGAATCTGTGCACAAAGATTAGCTGGGCATAGGCAGGCTATGTACTGTGGGCAAGCCTGAGTTTTTTTGCTCTGTCTGTGTGGATTTAAGATTCTGCCAATATACTGAAAGTCAGACACTGGATAAAGCAGTAATTAAAATACTGTGTTAGGATATCACGAGCAGGAGTCTGTTTTTGTAATCAATAAAAGGTGTCAGACAGCCAAATAGCTGGAAGTTACAATTCCCCAAACTCATGTGCACTGCTATTACACTGCAGCTTCATTGTTAATCAATTGCCTAACATCTGCGAAATGTCTCTTTGGTAAGATGTGGAAAGCTCATCCCCTCCTCTCCATGACCCTAACTAAATTCTGGGATAACAATAAATGCTGTTAATTTCATAGACACATTGAAAAGAGGCAACTGAAAACTGTTTCTCATACCTAATAGAAACTGGTGCTAACCAAATGACTATGTGGAAGGTTTCCTTTTTATTTTTTTTCTGCAATGAAGCAGAACCATCCATTTGATTACTGGAAATGACCCAACACCTTCCCCCCTCCCAGAGTGGGCAGGGGGAGGGCAGTGGCTATTTCTTCTAGAGTTTTAAAATGAATTGCCAAATGAAAGCACACTTTGTTCCTCAGAACATTGTGGTAGGCAGAATGTTCATTCACATTGGCTTAAAATACTCCTCCAGGTTGCTGAAAGATTGGGAAGGATGGCTGCTTCTTTGTTATATAGTGTTTCATCAAGTGTTTCACACACATTGACCATGTTTAGACATAACACTGAACCACAGCTTGGTACTGCATGAATGAGCCAAACCTCTTTCTGGGCTCTTCTTCCCCTCTCTTTATTCTGCACTGCTTGAAGGATGACTTCAGAATTGCTTAGTTTTAAGTCAGCCATGCCTTCTTGAGTCATCTGAATTGAGATTTGTAGTTACCACTAACTATGGTGAGGTTCAAAACAAACTAGTTTAATAAACTGCAGTTTGCAGCTGGCTTCTTTCCAAATGGACTACGGTCAGTGCTAAACCACAGTACCAAGTTCAGATGAAACAGGAAGCCATGGATAGCTAAAAATAAGAGGAAAAGCTTTCAAAATCCTCCTGGCTGTACAGGAAGGGAGAGTGTATGTGAGCTGGGGAGGAGGCTAGGCAAATTCATGTAGTGTTTAGTGCTGTGTCCAAACTTGGCCACTGTCTCCGTGGTCGTTACTGGGAATCACTTTAAACACTGATTTTTCAGTTCTTAGTGTTCAGCTTTACAGGGCCAATCATTATCTCTGCAATGGAAGCCAATATTGTGATTAAGACATGCTGAAAGGGCAGCACCAAAACCAGAAAAGGGGTCAGAAATCCAACAGGTGCAGGAGACGAACTTAGTATATTGAGTGCTTTAATCTCTATCCCAACAGGGGACTGTTACTACCATGTTGCAGATGGTGGGCAGAAACTGTGAAAAGTGGTTTGCATAAGGCCATCTGAAACAATTGCTTGGATCCAGTGTCCCCTGTGTGAGACAGTGAGGATTTTCTGATACTGCCAATGTCCCTCTTCTGCTTCTGCCCCCATGTCCTTGTGCATCCATTGTAACTTCCTCTTACCCTTGGAGGAACTTACGCAGAACACTCTGTGATTCTTTGGATCCAAGCCAATCATTATTTGGAAAGAAAGGGGGATTTTAGATGATAATGTCCATGTGCAGAATTGTGGTGATCAGAGTTGAATTCTCGGCGAATTCCCAGCCCTATATTGATGTTGTTTTCTCAGCAAAGTGGAGCAAAGCAAAACAAAACAAAGAAAAAAGGAGAATTTGACAGTTAGGCCAGCTTGAGTTGGAAGGCAGAGGTCTGTTTCAAACTGGGGCAATGGCTGTACTTATGTGAGATGTTATTTCAGTGCCATTTCTTTTCCTATCAGCGGTAGAGCAGTGCTCTTATAGTAGTTACATATTTCCCATTACAACCGATGTCTGCTGACTTGCCTTCTGGCGAGAGAAGTCAAACTGCGCAGGTATTAGGAGGCAAAGGTCAGCTGAAAATATGGTCCAACTGAGGATCAGGTATTCTCAGGCAAATCTGCCACCTTTTCTCCTGCCATGCAGTGCTGCTGGCCACTGGAGTTCTTTGGTTCTGGGCACAAGCTGCGGATACTTGGCGATGCTGAGTGCCACCCTTGGTCTCATTCAGGTACACTCAAGAGCTGGGGTTCACTGCAGCTTCCTAACCAGAGTACAATCAGTGTCAAGCCTCAGTTTGTTGCCACGTTATGTGTGAACACGGCTGATTCCAAAGGGCAGCAAGATGGGCTGTTGCCATGGCTCCTAGACCACTGAAGGGCCCACTTCTCCCAAAGTAGCGTCATTCGTACTTTGACCAGAAAAAAAGGCTTCCTGAAGAGAACTAGCAGTAAACAGTGTTGCACTTGATCCCAATGCAAGTCCAACACTTTGGACTGACCTGGCTTGAGATTCCTGCTTAGCAATGAAGCACACCTGGGTGCATCCTTATTATGCAACCTACCCTATTTCAGGTGGTTCCTGTGATGATAAAATGGAGGAAACCACAATGATGGTATCTGAACTTCTTAAAGGACAAGCTGGGATATTAATGAGAAAAAAGAATGGAAAAGCAGAAAGCAGTGGCAGCAAAAGGTGAATGCTTTAGTTACAAATTTCTGTACTAGCAGACTGAACAATTTGGGGAAGGTGCTGAAGAGAGGTGTGATGTGGCAGCTGCTGCCTGCATTCTTGGTGACACAGATTAATTAGATTCCTTCCAATCTGGGAACAACTGGTTTGAACAGAACCAATAAATGAATAACAAGTTGCTTATAGAATTACAGAATTGTAGAGTGGGAGAGGAAACATGAGGGTCATCTAGTCCAACCCCCTGCAATGCAGGATTTTTTTGCCCAATGTAGGGCTTGAACCCACAACCCTGAGATTTAAGAGTCTCATGCTCTACTTACAGAGCTATCCTGGAGTCTAATTTGTCTTAATAATAACTTGCTAGTTTGCAAATGCCAACTGTTCCTGACTAATTTGTAAAATTTGAGGTGTATTCTACCATAATCACTTCCTGTGCCAGGGTGTGACCCACAGTTTGTATGTTATGACAAGCAGGTAGAAGCAGCGGCCGGTGGTTAGCAGGGTGTGATCCTGCTTCCCCATGTGGTTTGTCTATGCGCTTTGGTGAACTTGTGCATAACTTCTCTCAGTGTGGCTGAAGCTCTTTGCAATTCCTTGTTGAAACAGGGCTTACCTTACTTATAACAAACTGGAGTTAGGATTATGGAATCATTTAGCAGGTGACCAGGACTATAACATTTAACCCACTAATGTCACCTTTGGCATTAAATAGCAAGCTCCTTTTGCTTAGGATGTATATTGCTAGAACTGGTGGAATATGCAATTCCATCTGCTTTTATGGAAACAAACTGGGGGAAATGGTCCAGCTGTGTTCAGAAAAGGAAACACAATCAGCAGTGACATCCTTCAAAATCTGATGCACTTATGGTAAAAATGCTTATTTGCAGGAATTTGAAAGCAATTGCTTTGTTTGTTGGAAATGGTTTTAAGAGAATGAAACCTAATTTTACAATTTTTGTATTATATGTGTCCAGCAATTTTTAACACATTAGAGCAGTGGCAGCTATATTTGATATGAACATGAGCTTGCAAAACCTTAATTCTGTTTCTTTTTGAACCATTGGGGGGCGGGTGTGGTGGTTATTCAAGGTCAGCAGCACCGAGAGGCAAAAGTGAGTCTGTCCAAGGCAATATTTATGAATGGGCTTTCATCTGCCTCTAATTGAAATTAGCATTGAGTCATTCTCCGCCCCCCCCCCCCGCCAGTAACTTTCCAAGGAGACAAATTTAACTTGACAGAGGAATAAAAGGTCTGAACTCAAGCTCTCCAAAAGAGTACAAAATGTGGCCAAGCTCGTAAATCACACAGCTAAATTGTAATGTGTATGCTAATTGGTCTCAAGTTCCATTTTTAACCTTTCCTTTAGCATCATAAGGACAAGAAGGATATTTTAGCATGCAGCAGACAAGAGACAGAGAGAGAGCTTAAAGCAGACTGAGGAAATGGACATTCTGAAGGGCTGCATGACTCTGCCCAGATCTTCTTCATGCTGGACCAAGTAGCTTAGATGGCTAAACTGAAACCTCTTGTTTCAGAGACAGCATAACTCCTGAGTATCAGCTGTTGGGAACAAGCAGCAGAAGAGAGTCATCACCTTCATGCTTTGCTTGTGAGCTTCCCAGAGGGATGTAGCAGGCATCTGCTGGAATCAGAATGCTAGGCTAGATGAACCCTTGGTCTGATCCAGCAGGCCAATGCTTGATTTCTTTTTAATGTTTTTTTTTAAATTTCAAGTATTAATTTCAAGTAAGGACTACAGAGCTTAGGAGCTGTACAGAAAAGAAAGATAAATAACAGCTGATGATTGTAGCAATGAGGCCATTCTTATGATCTCCAAAGAAGCATAGAATCTAGTCAGGTATGAATTAGAGATGAGATAATTCTCTTTTTTTGGCCATATCTCAGAATTAATTATTCAAATGTTGAATGGAATAATTTAAACTTTTAAATTCAAATTCTAAAGTAAAAATTTACCTCAGGATTTGCAGCACAAGGATTTGCTCACCCTCTTGGTGGGGCATCATTGTGGTTTTTTTTTATAAATAATATTTATTAAAGGTTTAAAGATTACAGAAGGAAAAAAAGAAAGAAAAAATAAACAATGCAAATCAATACTATACATAAAAAAACAAAAAACAAAAGACAATACATCAAAACAAAAGCAAAAACAATTAAAAACACATCCAATATTTCCATATCTTTGTCTTTCATTAACATGTTTCATCGACCTCCTCACACCTCCTTTTTTGTGTTCTAGTTATTAATTGTTTCAGCAAATCCTTTCCATCTTTCACTATTTTCTATCATATAATTATCATAATTTATTTTAACCTTATCTTACCATTAATACCCTGAAACTTATTTGTACTTAACTCCTTATAACATTTCTACTAAAGCCGTGTATTTTCATTCCAACATTTTTCTAACACTCATTAATTTTACAATGTTTCTATAAATAAATTTTTAAAACTTTTTCCAATCTTCTTCCACCGTCTCTTCTCCCTGGTCTCGGATTCTGCCAGTCCTTTCTATCAATCCATATGGTCCATCAACCTGGTGATCTTCTGTCCGAGGCTCTTAACTCTTTTCCATGTCCCTTCTGCAGATCTTCTTCATATTTATACATACACTTTACTTTATCTTCTGCTGATCTTATTCTTAATTTCCTTCCTTTGACATTGAGGAGTAGATCTCGGGGAAGCTCCAACCTAACAATGTCTTTATTCCTTCTCGACTGGTCAGCCCATTCTCCATAATCAAAACTAGAGTCCAAAAGATATTTCAGGACGTGTTTCAATTGGCTTTCTCTAAATTCAAACATAGAAGGCAACAGCTTATATTCATCAAATTGTCTCTGTAAGACTGAGGCTCTCTCCACTTGTATTACTTGAGATTCTAGAATAACTTTTTCCCTTGTCTTCTCCACAACTTGCCATGTCGAAGTAGATTCCTGGATCGGTTCCTGAGTAGTTTCTGTATAGATATTCACTTCTTGTCCCAAATCAGTCATTTTTTGTCCCAAATTATCAGTTTTAATAGCCATCACATCCATCTTCTCATGAAGCTGTTCCAATAAAGCACTTGTCTTGCAAAATGCAATCACTAAGGCTTCTTCTGTTGACATTCTTGTCCAAGGTCAATCTCTGATTCTCACGGTCTTTTATCTCTGCAGCTGGAATGCAACAGTTTTAAAAGCTCCCTCTAGAGGAAACAATTTCTATTTGTATCCGTCCTTTTAAACACAGATCCAGCAGCAAAGTTAGTTTCAATCTTTCAGTTACTTTTGCTCCTTTTTAAGTGCAAAAGGAAGCAATGGAAACCATATATTTATATTATTTAACTATCTGTCAACATACGTTTTATTCACAGTCAATGGACTTTCCCAAAACGTCAAACTTACTGACAGCCCGATCCCAGGTTCAAAACGGTGGTGATTTGTCTTTCTTCACTCTCTCTCCTGCAGGCTTTGGCAGTCTAAAATTTTCCCCCTCTTCTCCTGCTTCCAAGGGGGGTTTAATAATTTTAACTGATGGAAATTTAGTCCTTTACAAAAGGCTCTCCAAGACTTTAGCTTGCAGCGTCTTTGCTCTATCTATTTACAAAAGAGGAAGGCGGACTTCCTGTTTGAAACCTTCCCGTTTCGGTGCCGAATTAAGATGTTTAAAGGTCCAATTTTCCGTTCTACTCACGGGTAGTTGTTTAAAGTCCAATTGTCCACAGGAAGAAAGTCAGCGCTCTCCGGCAACGGCAATGCGGCTTCACTCCGTGAAAGAAGCAGTCGATTCAAAGCACCGCGCCACTCACCCCACGTCGCTCCGGACCCCCGAAACCGGGTTTCCCCGCGAGTGGGGGGGCGCAAAAGGTGCCAGCCGAATCCCACGTCCACAGGCTTCTCCTGCTTGTGGTTTTTGGTGGGTCTCCGCCTTCGCCGTGGTGGCCAGACCCTGATTTCCACGGAGCGGGTTCCTCCAGATCAGAGGAATTCCGCCATTGCCGGAGGCGCTAACCCGGAAGTCCGGTGGGGCGTCATTGTGGGACAGCGAGGGCTCTCCTAAGGCCCTGACAAGGGAATCACAGCATTGGTGTCCTGTCTGGATAGGTGGTGTAGGTGTAAACCCGTGCCACCTTTCAGGAGCTGGATACTAGCCTGCACCTGGGATTGGTAAATGGGGGTTTAGGCTTAGACATGGGCTGGGCCAGGGGCGGAGCCAAAGGAGCAGGAAGGCTTCCCTTGGGTCCACACCCTGGCCATTTAAACAGCCCGCACCTGGGGCCCTACCTGCTTTTCCTTCATCTGGAAAAGTGCTTTGATTTTGCTGGTGCCTTCTCTTGGTTGTTTTGATGGGAAGAGACCAAATATTGAATGCTCTCCACTTTCAAATGATACAAAATACCTTTGCAAGTGAACAATCAAATGCTATTCAATATCAACTAGGGGGTAATGTTGAGCATCCTAATAATTTCCAATATGTATTTGGCAGCAAAATCTGAGGAGAACTTTTGGGGGGAAATTAATTTCAGTTCCAGAATTCATTCGTTCTTTTTTGTGCACAGGCATATTTCATTTTTTTAAAAATAACTAGTCGCGATGCATCTCTCTACACTCTCAGAAAAGCGTGTGACAAATGAGACTCAAGCACATATTATTGATTCTGAATTTCTGCCCTGTCTCCCTTAATGGGCATAGCACAAGGACAGAATATCTGCTTTGTGTGCAGAAGATTCCATATTCAGATTCTGGCATCTCCAGGTGTTGCTGGCAGAGGCCTTAGTTTATAATCCTGGAAAGTCACTGCCAGTCAGGGCAGACAATACTGAGCTGGATCAACCAATGGACTGATTCGGTATAAGCCAGTGTTCATGTTAGTCTCTGTTGCAGAACACTAGCTTCCAACTGCCAAAAAAGCATCTGTGTGGTGCCAACTTGCACTACTGGAATGTGGCCAATACTGAATGCAGTCCATCAAGTAGGATAAAAGTAGTACACATTCCCATTATATTAACAATAGCAAAATGTATTGTGACACCTTAAATACTAACAAAATTATTTTGGCATAAAGGGTTCATGGACTAAAGTCTACTTCATCATCAGCATTACACTAAGTTATATTCACGCCTTTCAAAATTAGTTCCAGCTGCGTTGCATCAGAAAGCCAGGCTGTTTGTTCAACAAGCAAACCTACCCACTCGACCATTGCCAAATTGCCATCTTGCTTTCTGTTTCAGCACGCCATAACACCAGATTCAAGAGCTTTCTTGGTGGGCCAATCTGTTACTGATTGTGCTAACCTGCGGAAGTATTCCCCAGAGTTACATTGGTTTCCTGTTTTGAGAAATTGCTTCTGCATGACTTCAGAGGCCAGCTTGGTATCTGGGAGCTCTACCAGCAATTCCATCAGCAGTGATACATAACAGCCCACATTTCACTGGCTTCATCCCCATTCTAGCCATTGACTTGTTCGCCTTATTATTGCCTGAGAAGCAAAGACATGGTTAATTGTTTCATATGGACCATGAATTCTAGCGTCTTAAATGAACCGTGACTGTGAGTGAGGCTACGGCTCTTCCAGAACCGATGAACAATTGCTCTCATGTGGTGAGGAACTGACTATTTTTAACAGGCTATCGTCCAAAAACTATGTATTCAAAATGTGGCTTGGAAACTGGCTGGTTTCAAGGGATTACTGCAGACTACTGAGTTCAGGATTCCTGCTTAAGCTGGGGCAAACTGGGAGGTTAGCATCACACTGGACTTTTTTCTTATCAAGCAAAATCATTTCAAGATGTTTAGCTGTAGAAAACGTATTACCCCCCCCAAAAAAAAACCTAACCAAAAGATTGCAGACTCTTTTAACTGCAGGGTTGTTTTGTGCCCAGATGTATTTTAGGCAACAAAGAGTTGCTTACCAAGAAAGAGGACCTTAGTCAATGCCACACAACCTTAGTCATGCCTCACAGTCACACCTACTGAAATCAGTGTACCTAGTGCAGGTGGCGCTGTGGTCTAAACCTCTGAGCCTCTTGGGCTTGCAGATCATAAGGTCAGCAGTTCGAATCTGTGTAACAGGGTGAGATCCTGTTGCCTTGTCCCGGCTCCTGCCAACCTTGCATTTTGAAAGCATACCAGCACGAGTAGATAAATAGGTACCGCTGCAGTGGGAAGGTAAATGGCATTTTCGTGCGCTCTGGTTTCCTTCACAGTGTCCTGTTGCGCCAGTGGCTTAGTCATGCTGGCCACATGACCTTGAAAGCTGTCTGCAGAAAAACGTTGGCTCCCTCGGCCTGAAAGCGGAGATGAGCACCTCACTCCATAGTTGACTGGACTTAACCGTCCAGTGGTCCTTTACCTTTCCTTTTACCTTTACCTGAGTATATTATTTATTTCAAGTATTTATAGACAGCTTTTTTATCAGAAAAGATCACAAAGCAGTCTGAGTCTGGCTTCGGCTGGGGAGAGCGGGATATAAATAAAATTTTATTATTTTATTATTATTATTAACCCTACGGACAGCGTGGATTGAACCTGGGGACTTTCTTCATGGACATCATGTGCTCTGTATTGCCCTTCCCTTTCCCCAGCCCAGCCATGTTCGACTGTGGCCAATGTGTTCTTTGTAAAACAGAACTTTGTCTGGAACCATCTAGAAAGTACAATACACATGATATGAACTGTAGGCAAGTTTTCAGAAATTAAAGTTTTATGAGCTTCAGAAAATATCATAAATATCATCTGTTAAGCAATCCAGTAATCTGAATTCATGCAAGAAATCATGGTTTGTTGGAGTGTTGGTCTGGGGAACCATGGTACACTTTCACTTACCTGTGTGAGCAGTGAAAGGAAGGAGAAATCTACCTTCTTGTGTCAGGTTAGAACCTTGCCTCATTCTCCCTTGCCCCTCTTGTAGTCTTGGCCGAATGACTTAACTCTCTTCCCTCTTTTTCACTGTTTATTGAATGATGTGGAAGCAGCTGGCAATAATGAGCTTTACCACTTGGAGGTGCTACTTTACAAATATATAGAACAAAAGGGCACCAACAGTAATGTCTTGTTTCTAGTGAAACTGCTAATTTCAGACTGTGTTATTTTACCTTCTTACCTTCCTCACTGTCACTTTTCTCCTTGTTGTTATTTCTCTTGCGGTTCAAATTGTGACGAACTTTAATGTTCAAAGGTTATGATTCTCAGCATGCTTGCAGGGCAGTAAATTGCAATGAAATCAGGGGGACTTGTGTCCAAGTAATATGCATTGTGTTGGGCTGCACAGCTACCTTGCCTTTGGAGTACACTAATTAAAACTTTCCAGAAAATTAAGAGGTAGCATTTCTCATCTTGACGCTGTGGACCAGAAGTGATGAGCAGCTATCCATCCTTTCTTGCTAGATGTGAATAGACCATAGCTGAATGGTAGACCTCATGCTTTGTGTGTGGAAGGTCATTGCTTCAATTCCTGGCTTCTCCTGGCAGGGCTGTAAAGGCTCTCTAGCTGAAACCATGAAGTGCTGCTGCCAGTCAGTGTAGGCACTATTGAGCTAGGTAGATTAATGGTTGGACTTGATATAAGGCAGCTTCTGTGTTTCTGCACATGCATGTGTGTGCGCGTGCACCCACCCACCTCTTTTGTCATGTAGTTCTGACTTCTTAATCAATGTTCTGCTTTCAGAGGTTTTTGGTGTACATTTACTCTTTTTTTTTGCATTTTACTGACTGGAATTAATTTGTATGGTCTGTGATCTCAGTTATTTGAGATAAAATGAACGAGAATTCCGTGAGGAGAATGATTGTAACTGTGGGTGTCAAGTAACATGGGGATTTGGCATTTTTTCACAATTTGCTGTAGCTATTGATGGTGCTTCTTGGTCAGCAGATAAAGAGCAGTTGATGAACTTTTTAAAAAGCCTACAGCTCTCTATCACAGCAACTCCCCCCCCCAAAAACCCCCCACACGCCCTAGTACAGAAACTTCCATATTTCATTGGTGAATTTTGAAAAACATTATTTGGGCCTGAAAACCATGCTCTCTCTCTCTCTCTTTTTTAAAGTGATGAATTCAATCTGTTTTCTCTGAGCATTCAAATATATTGTTATGTGCAGCAGACTTTTTGATGCTGGCTTGGACCAACTGCCAGAAAGAAGGCGCTTGGCTTCTAGAAGTCACCGTTGCTGGGGTGACAATATCAACAGAAGGAGGGGATCACTGGGGAGGAGAGGGCTGCCAGGGAAAAGAGGCAAAGCCTGGTGGGCTTCTCCAACCCTGGCTAGGAAGTCACAGCTAGTGCAACTCTCTTAGAATAAATGTAATGTGCTTTGAAGGAGCTCAACCAGCCAACAGCCTTGCTCCCACATTTTGCACCAACTGTAGCCTCTAAACCTATCCCTCAAGAGCAGCTGTACACAGAGCACATCACAACAGTCTAGTTGTGAGGTAACCAGTACAGGAGTCAAAGCAGCCAGGCTACCCCTGTCTAGCCTTAGCATCACTGGGCACCTGCCAGGGCAAACATCCCTGCAGGGGACCTACTGACATTCTCTGGAGACTTTTGGTCCTGTTCTCATCCTCTTGGCTATTGCTGCCTGTGTTTGCCTGCTGTCTCTGAGCATGCAAGGAAAGTCAAAAGTAAGTTCCAGCAGCACCTTCCACCTGCCTTGGGTCTGGGCTTGGCGCAACCAGCCCAGGCATTCTTAACTGGTTGGTTTACATGGTGGAAAGAAAAGGATGGTGGAAAGAGTTTGTAGCCCTTCCTTCCAAGGTGAGGGGGAGTGGCCTAAGCATGGACTTAACACCTCCATGTATTATCGTATTTTTCCGTGTATAAGATGCCCCCATGTATAAGACGCCCACTACTTTTGGGGACCCCAAATTTAGAAAATGAACATATGCACTATCCATGTATAAGACGCCCCCAGATTTTTAACTTTATTTTAAAGTAAAATAAACCCTAGTCTTATACATGGAAAAGTACAGTAATTAGAGTTAAACGTTGGTTATATGAGGCTGATTTATATGTGTTATATTGCCACGCCTGCCCATAAATACATATTAACACACTTGTGTCAGGCAGCCAGAAAGACAGAGGGCTTAAATAGAGGAAACAAAAGAATCGAAGGTACCTCAATCAATGCTCTGATTTTTTTTAAAAATGGGATATTTTAAGGGGCTATGGGGAAGGTGACCCATGTTACTAATTAATACTGAGAGACAGTTCTTGGGCATTGGTTTGATGTCATTACAATGCATAGTGCAGCCAGATATAGTTATTGAAGTGTTATAATTCCCCTGTCTGAGAAATACGTATGAAAATTCACTCTAGCTGTTGGATGGATGAATATTTAAGAAACTAAATCCATGGAAAATAATTCTGGGATGAGGCGTCTTAGCCTTAGACACACTGGCTAACGAAGTATTCGATTTGTATTATTAGCTCTGCTGGAAATAGTCCAGTAGCATTTTATTTGATTGGGCTTGTATCTTCCATTGTACGCTTGATGAATAGATATTGCTTGCTGGCAGGATTATAAATCCAGTCAGATTTGTCATCAGCTTGCAGTTACAGGAAATAAGTTACATATGGTTTTATAAGGCAGTGGGGGAAAATAGAACCTTCCAGTTAAAAATGAGCGAAGTCTGTGGCATCCACAAACTGAGGCTGAATTTGTCATGTAGTCAAAATGCTCCTTGACTCCATCACTTGAGACTCCGGGGGTGAGATGGGGAGAGTGCCTCTCCATAGAACAACCCCTCTGCACTAGAAAACTAGAAATCAGAGAGGACAAGTATAGCCTGTTCTGACAAGTTTATTCCTTTTCTGCATGCTGGGATTTTGTTTCTCAGTAGAGTATTCAATTATTTATTCAACTATTTTTTAATTAAATTTTTATATAGCTCTTCATTCAAGGCTCACAGGGCAGTTTACAATATCTGACACACACACACCCCAATTCGCAGTCTAGTGGTACAGTCCAATTTTACAATGTAATCTGGTAGTCTAAATTTGGTTTCAGTCCCACTTCTGTTTTTAGGTTTGTGGTGTGGGAGCTGCTAAAACATGGTACTGTGAACTGAGTGGAACGTTCCACAGATCCAGTTAATTTGTTCAAAAGTACAGTAGTGATCTTTGAGCGGGCCAAAAGCTTCCCCTCTCCAGTTAATTCTAGTTATATACTGATATATTTTTTTAATTATAATTGTTCACATCAATTTCCTCTTTGCTGCCATACTGAGCACCCATCCATTTTATTCCTCTTCAAGTGACCAGAGATTATCACATAGCAAATTTAGGTACTGGATGACATAATTAGGGGCAAATGAAGCTCATTTACAATGAGAACAATGCTTCCCAGGAAGGCCACTGGTGGGGGGGGCAGCATTCCTCAGGATAGAAACTATTTGTTTGAGGGGGCTCCTTGCTTAGTAAACACCACCTTGATTTACCCATGGTGGGCTTTAAATGAGCTTTTGCACCTTAAGTGAAAACCAAGATGATCACAGTGCCAAGCTAGAGACTGTGCTTTTGTGGGAAATATAGGTGCTTTGACCCTATAGGTGAGAAAGTGGAGCCCCAAGTGAAACAAACAAACAAATCAAAACAATTCATCTTGTGCAACTTTGCTCCAGGGCACAAAGATCTCTGTGGATCTGTCCTAATTGTTTCCAGTCATACGCTGCAGGTACCCCAATTTCTCCTTCCAATTACAGTGGTACCTTGGGTTACAGACGCTTCAGGTTACAGACTCCGCTAACCCAGAAATAGTACCTCGGGTTAAGAACTTTGCTTCAGGATGAGAATAGAAATCGCGCAGCAGCGGCGCAGGGGCAGCAGGAGGCCCCATTAGCTAAAGTGGTGCTTCAGGTTAAGAACAGTTTCAGGTTAAGAACGGACCTCCGGAACGAATTAAGTACTTAACCTGAGGTACCACTGTATAGCTCCTTCAAGGACACAGAGTGCCATTCAAGGGCAGTCGTGCACTTGGTTGATGTAATGGACTTACAGGAGGCCTAAACAAAATAAAAAATTCCTTCCAGTAGCACCTTAGAGACCAACTAAGTTTGTTATTGGTATGAGCTTTCGTGTGCATGAACACTTCTTCAGATACCGTGTGCATGCACACTTCTGCAGGAGGCCTGTGTGACCCCTGGACTTACTGGTCTTAAATCCCCCCCCCAATGTTATTACCCTCTAGCAGTCCTCAGAAAATAGGGACATTCTATTCTACATCAATATCAATGCTAGTTAGTAGTATTTATTGATTTGGGGTTTTCTTTCCCCACTCAGAGCTTTCCTAAATGCAATACATAAATTCCAAGATTTCTGTGCTTTTAAGTACCCCAGTTTTGTGTGTTTCCTCTAATAACTTTTGTACACTTGACCAGGAGGAAATGCTCAAGCAGTAATACTGGCGTAGAAAAGAATGTCCCTGTTTTTGGAGGAATATTGGAGGTATTACGTTCACTTACCTCAGAAGGTAGTAAGCTAGCCCTGCTGTGTTTGGGGGACTCCTCCTGCTCATTCTTCAGATATACATCTGCCCCAAAGTCTTGTCCTGGTGGCACCATATTTCTGACACTTGCAAGTGTGAGGAGACAATTGGGTGCAATTGGGTGACACAGTTTGAAGACCCAAGGGCAGGTGTGGAGGCTAGAAAGTGGACCACATATATGACATATGAACGGATTTGTCAGAAACATTTGCGATAATTCCACTGTATTCCAGTGTCAAGAAAAGTAGTCTGCATTATTTTCTTTATTAAAAGAATCCATGACTGATCACCCCATCACAATGCTTTCTTATCTGCAGCTGGAGGTAGTCATTTTTCTTAATGGGGTGCTTTTTTGGGGGGGGGGCAGAATGAAATTGTGAAATTATAGATAAAATATTTAGCGTGGCGTTTGCTAATTGTATGTAGTGAAAGGATGTGGGGTGGAGTGGCGGGGAGAAAGAGAATCTTCTCACTCAACCACAAGTAGCTAAATTGCTGTTTTTCTCTTCAGCTTTGTTGGTTGCTTTTGCCTGCATGATTGCCGTCGCCTTCCTGTATTTTCTTGGACTTTATGTCTCCAAGTAAGTCTGTGTAAGTGACATGTGGATCTATATGTTTTTGTGCTATGTTTTAAATCTGCAAGTTATCATTGAATTATTTATTTCTGCATTTATTTATTTTAAAGTATAGACACATAAAGAATTAGAATAAACAGTTTTAGTCCATTTTTATGGGTGTGGGCCTTTAACTGGGTGACAGGAGTGGCCATTTTCCATGTATGTGGCTGGTGAAAACACATTTATGGAGGTATATTGCCAGTCACAAAGTTCAGCTTTGCCCCATTGACCTGGCTCTTGAATATATTTTTAAAGATATCTACAAGGAGCTGCATCCATCCAGGACCACCAATTGTTGCTCATGGCAAGTATGCCCATGCCTAGAATTGGATTTTGGCCTGTATCTGTGTGAGATCGTCATACAGGCATCAAATGGCCAATTTCTAACACTTTTAATCTATTGTGTGATTACTCTTGATATTTTTGATTCAGTAAAACTAGATGCACATATGCACCACCAGTGTTGGCAGTTTTCTCTGCAGCCACTGTCGTGGCCATTTCAGTGCAAAATATGGCTTGCTTCTTTAACAGAAGAAGAAGCCACAGTGCAACGTCAAAGAAACCTCAGGCAACATGCGTGGTTCTTCCCGATGTGTGCGGAGTGCTTTGTTGGATCATGGCATTGGACTTCCTGTTCTTTATTTCCTACAAATTTGAATAAACTTAAATTATTGTGAGCTTCTTCATTGTACATAGGGAATTCAAGAACCCACACCATCTTTTGAAAGTTAGTGGGTAACCTTCTGCACCTTAAATTCCTTCGGTGTTTTTAAGGAGTTTTGTAAATCTATTAAGTTACAGGAGACAA